GAGACTCTACCATCCTCCCTGCCCTGTGGATCTAGGTTCCCTCTTGAAAGCTTGTAAGCCAGTCACTTCTTACCTTTGTATCCCTTCTTCCATTTTTGTTTAGTCAATGTGCAAGTTGTCCATCCCTATCTACTCTTTGTGTGGAGGGGGTAGGAATAATTCTTGGAACAGGGATTTGTTTCCTGTTTTGAGCTACTGCATTTATAGGCGGATGTCCAGTTTATCAAATTGTATCAGATGACGCTTTTTTCCTCTTCTTTCTTCTTCGGGTTGAGCTTTGTTCATCCCATCATTGGAGCCATGGCAAGTGGGTATCATCTGCAGGTGTGGGTGTTCCTGCGTCTGTCCGCCCTCTTCTTATCAGTTGGTCGCTTCGGTCTGCACTCTTGTCCTCTGTGGTTGTGTCACTGACTCTGAGTCCATGAGTCCCCAGGTCTTGCCTCACTGTTGGCTGACCAGGTCTCCACCTGGGCTCACCATAGTCTGCTGAACGATGCAGGGCTTAGCTCGCTGCTTCTTTGATGTTTTAAGAACTCTTAATGTTGTGATTTTTTTTTTTTCCTATGACCTTTACTATTGAGACATTGCATTAGTAGTTAAAATGTTTAAGAACAAAGGGTAACATACTGGTTCTTAGAAACCAACGATTGAATAGCTGAGGCATGGGAGGAGTGCAGAGGACTGCTGGGTATTTCCTTCTGCACTGGGCTTTCCTTCTTCTTGTGTCAGCTGCATTTTCTCTTTCACAGCAGATTGATTTTGTCCACATGTCGGGCAACCTGGCCATGCTGTTCCCAGCCTCGGCCCGATCAGAAAGGCTCATCCCCATTCTACATACCAGATATCCTCCATATTAGCCGTGTTATGAGAGAAGAGCGGAACTTCTAAATGGGTTCTAAGTAGATCGCTCCATTCTTCCATTGCTTCCATGTTTATAAATTAATGATTTAAAAATATTCACTTTGCATATCAGCTACTTGATATGATTTTCTGTATATTATCTAAAATTAACCATGTTGCATGAGAGGGTAAAATCTAGGTTATAATTATTTTGTCATATGATTATTTTTAAGTTCTTTAGATTTTTCTTTTTTTGAAGCTTTGGAGCTATAGGAGTCTTAGAGGCTTATATGAACATAGTATTGTAAAATTGGAGGGAGTTGGGAGCAGTCATTATAACTCAAAACATTAGATTTCAGACTTGATTGACGATAGCAATTCCGTTCTCTTTTTCATGAAGACCCTGAGCCCACTGTCTTTTGGTTTGAGTCTTTTTCTTATTGGACTTTGATCTTGAACCTTATGGCTAGTAGCGGAATGCAGGCACAGGTAAGGAATCTGTTTTCGAAAGCTTAGCAACTCAGGATATTCAGAATCCTTTCTAGGACTAGTCACAGATTGTTGGGAGGGTCATGGTTAGTAGATGAGTGAAAGGAGTGGGATGTAAGACAGTCTAGTTTTACACAATGAACTAAAGGTGGTGGTGTTGTTAAGTGCCGTGGAGTCGGTTCCGACCCATAGCGACCCTGTACAGGGTTTCTGAGGCTGTAAATCTTTACAGGAGCAGAAAACCTCATCTTTCTCCCATGGAGCGTCTGGTAGTTTTGAGCTGCTGATCTTAAGGTTTGCAGCCCGATTCGTGACTACTACGCTACCATGTATATGCCTATCTAAAATTAGGCATTTTAAACATGTTTAAACAGACTTTGTTGAGAACAACAAAGGCTTCTCTAAAGCTGGATTTGATACAAGCTATGAGATTTCAACTGCTGCTTTAGGGTAAACTTTGATATAGTTTACTGGTATTGTAATAACTCAAAAAATGCTGTCATTTTAAATATTGATAACTATTGTTAGTTCGACAGCTGTTGATTCCTTGTTGTCTATAGGGAGGCCCTGTCTCCTTGCATGTTCTCACTGTGAGGCAGAGTATGTTTTTGTTGTGAAGTGCCGTCGAGTCGGTTCTGACCCATAGCAACCCTGTATAGGGATTCCGAGGAGCAGCTGGTGAGCTTGAACTGCCGACCTTGCAGTTCAAGTGGCTTTGCAGTCTGTCGCCTTAATCCACAGGGCCACACCAGGACTCCAGAGTACAGATGTAGGTGAAAATCTAACTCTGCAAACTAGCCTTAGGGCCTTAGAGAAATGGCCCAACTTCTGGGAGTCCTGGTTTCTTCATCTGCAGAGTGAAAAAAAGTAGCTTCAAACTCTTGTGAAGGTTGTTTGTTCAGCACTGTGTTGTTGTTGTTAGGTGCCATCGAGTCGGTACTGACTTATAGCAACCCTATGCACAATAGAACGAAACACTGCCCGATCTGGGGCCCACCTCACAATTGTTGCCATGCTTGAGCCCATTGATGTGGCCACTTTGCCATGTGCCATGTAGTTAGTTCCAACTCATAGTGACCCCGTGTAGCGTTTCCAAGGCTTTTAATCTTCGCCAAAACAGAAAGCCTCATTGTTTTCCTTTGGAGCAGCTGGCAGGCTCGAATTGTGGACCTTATGTTTTACAGTCCAGTGTTCATTGAAGATTTGTTATTGTTAAGTGCCATCGAGTCAGTTCTGATCCCTATTGCAGCTGTGTATAAGGTTTCCAAGGAGCGGCTGTTGAAAAGCTCAACGAACCCCAGGATGGATAGACCCTAAAAGAAAATCATCAAGACATATAATAATCAAGCTCTCCAAAATCAAAGATAAGGACAGAATCCTGAAAGTATCTTGGGAAAAGAAGTGTAACATACAAAGGCAAGCAAATCAGATTAAGCTCGGATCTCTCAACAGAAACCATGCAGGCAAGAAGGCAATGGGGAGACCT